GTCAGGCACTCTCATTTCTTTAAGAACTTGCCATAGTTTGTTGTGGTCCACACAGTCAAAGGCTTTTGCGTAATCAATGAAGCAGAAGTAGATTTTTTTCTGGAACTCTCTGGCTTTCTCCATAATCTAGCGCATGTAAGCAAATTTGTAAAAATAATGTCTCTTGATTCTTCATTCAAAACTAAATCACTCCCCAGTACTTTGCATTAAAGCAGGAACAGTTTGCAATAATATGCTATTCCTGGAAAAACCTCATCCACTTATGAAGATTGGCAGCTAACTTCAGAAGGAACAGGAAAGCTTGGAAGTGAAGTGAAAGCCCCCACTGATGAGAAAGCCTTGAACCTATGATCTTATCAGCTCTGGCTCCACTATATCATTGCTTAATTAAGTAGAATGATTTCCCATGTAAAATAATACTGCTTTTGGCTGGCAGCAGCTTTCTATGGCCTCAGGTACTGGTATTTCCCGTAATCCATTATGTGACCTTTTAAACTAGATATACTGGAGTGTAAATGTGGACCTCCATGAAAGTGTAATGCCCACTGATTTCAGGGCACTCCCTGGAGATCTGAACTTAAGTGTGTAGTTTTGCTGCATGAGACTAAATTATTTTGTAACACTGTACAGATACATCAGACCAAAACCTGGTGATACTTTTTTGGACTACATCTTCCAGAATCCAGCCAGTATTTTGAGTTCTGTTCTACCTGTTTCAAGCTATACTCACAGAAACTTACTCTTTGTGCACAAGAATGTATATTTTAGCTGGGAGTCTCTGAAATAATTGACTCTGGGATTTTTGAGACAAACTGATGGTATGGAAAGAATGGCAGCAGATATAAAAAATGGACAAAACACTACTAAATATGATGCAGAAGGTCCCTTGTCTTCTAATATGTATCAGTTCAGCATCTCAGAAGCTGTAGTAGACAGTAGAATATGTTGGGGCTTTTAAAAATTACATCACATTTGAAGCCGCCTAATCCATATGCCGCCTAATCCATGATCACTGCAGATGGTGACAGCAGCCCCGAAATTAAAAGACGCCTTCTTCTTGGGAGGAAAGCGATGACAAACCTCGACAGCATCTTAAAAAGCAGAGACATCACCTTGCCAACAAAAGTCCGAATAGTCAAAGCTATGGTTTTTCCTGTAGTGATGTACGGAAGTGAGAGCTAGACCATAAAGAAGGCTGACCGCTGAAGATTTGATGCTTTTCAGTTGTGGTGCTGGAGGAGACTCTTGAGAGTCCTCTGGACTGCAAGGAGAACAAACCGATCCATTCTAAAGGAAATCAAGCCTGAGTGCTCACTGGAAGGACAGATCCTGAAGCTGAGGCTCCAATACTTTGGCCATCTCATGAGAAGAGAAGACTCCCTGGAAAAGACCCTGATGTTAGGAAAGTGTGACGGCAAGAAGAGAAGGGGACGACAGAGGATGAGATGGTTGGACAGTGTCATTGAAGCGACCAACATGAATTTGGCCCAGCTCCGGGAGGCAGTGGAAGACAGGAGGGCCTGGTGTGCTCTGGTCCATGGGGTCACGAAGAGTTGGATACGACTAAACAACAACAACAATCCATATGCTGTTGTTACTAAGTTTGCTAGAGCTTTGTTTTTCTATGTGTCCTGAACTTCTTTATGTGTCTCTAGGGCGAAAAATGATCTGAAGCTCAACATCAAAAACGCTAAGATCATGGCCACTGATCATCACCTCCTGGCAAACAGAAGGGGAAGATATGGGGGCAGTGACAGATTTTACCTTCTTGGGCTCCATGATCACTGCAGATGGTAGTTTACCGACCAAACTCCGGAAGGCAGTGGAAGACAGGAGGATGATTTTAATTCATTCCACCAAAATCACTGTCTTGCAAAACCCAGTTCCCCATTGAAATCTATTTAATTCATTTCAATGGGGAAAAATCACTATCTTGTGAAAATTGTCCATAAAAGA